TGAGTGCCGATGGGCAAACTGATAGCTCCTATGCACAGCGACTACTAATAATTGTCGAAAACCTAATTGACTTTGATTGAGCATAATAAGGGAAACAACTCGTCTATTTCTAATTGTTTTGTAAAATATTCGCATTATGCTTTCTTTGTGTTAGATTTTTATTGGTGATATCATAATGTCAATGTTACATGTTACCGCTCGGATTCAGCATCGACTATATAACCCTCTGCAAGACTAACTACCCAGTCTATTGTCCTCCTATTTTTCTATTCACCTACATAGTGACCTATCTGCCTGCCTTCTCACCTACCTTCGCAAACATCTTTATACGTTTGTGTGTAGGCCTTATTCCTTACGTCCTTCTTATGACGTAATTTTTTGTTATTTGAAGCCCCACTCTGGATTTTGCCAGGGGCCGCAATATAGGCAGGCCATCAATATGGCCAATTGTCTGAACGCGGTTTCTGGGACCTCTCCACGGTGATCCTCATCCGCATGGTGGCACTTTGTGTCATCGGGTGTTTATCGCTTGTGTGATGTCCTGGTGGGGTAGAAAGTCAGTCAGTCAGTGTGTAGGCCTGTATTACTCGTATTACAACCATAGTCGTCCCCATTTGGGACACAATTGCTCGTTATTTTGAATCTCCACGCTGTCGTTTGCCGGGGCCGCAATATAGCCTGACGGTTGCACGCTGTTTCTGGGATCTCTCCACGAGTGATCCTCATCCGCATGGTGGCACTTTGTGTCACCGGGTGTTTATAGCTCTGTGTGATGTCCTGGTGGGGTAAAATTTACTTACTGTATTACTGGTGGTCATCACATCTGATCAATAAACACTATTTTTACATAAATTAGCCTTATGTCTGTAGTAATTTTTTTTATTTTTTTTTTTACATTTTAACATACAAGTATCATCATCATCATCATCTTCTTCTTCTTCAGCATTCAGGGCCCTTGAGGTTCATTACTGTAAATATCACCCGCCTCCATTCATCTCTCTGGTTAGACATCTCTTTCCAGTTGGTGACACCAAGTGTTTGCAGGTCTGTCTGGACATCATCGTCTTCTTGGTCTGCCTCGTTGTCTACAACCATTCATCTTCATTGTGTATACAGTTTTTACCTTTCTGTCATCTGACATTCTCTCAATACGCCCTAACCATTTCAGTCTATTAGCTCTCATGATGCCAGTGATCAGTGATGATTTAAACAGATTAGGAATTTCGTTGTTGCTTCTCACTCTGATTTTCTTCTGTTTGCATTAAATCATCTCATACAGTAACCTAGGATATATATATATATATATATATATATATATATATATATATATATATATATATATATATATATATAGTGTAATACCTACTTTGTCTACTGATACACCTATCTATCTACTCTCTGGTCAGCTAAGCTGCTTTTCTACTTACATATCTGCTTATACACACACATATTTACTGATCTACCTGCTTGTGATGGTGGGAGGAGGGGGAAAGGAAGGTCTCGCAGATGTGGATCGATGACATCCTGAACAGAGTTGAGTTGAGTTGATTCAAGAAACGACATCCCAGCACTCGGGGCATTCCCATAATCGCTTCGTCCCCATCTGCAGTAGCCAGCGCAGAGTTCCAATACTTATGGTTCCAGTAGCATTCTGATTAAACGTACATCTTGTCTTTTCTCTGAGCATCGAGCTGCGGCCAGAACCCGTCGTCACTACCTGCTGCATCAATCTCACCAGACTGTAGTGATCCATCTGCTCCTCCAAACAGTACACGCTCTCCCACAAGGCTCCAACCACACCTGCCTTTTTATATATCATCAATATTCCGCCAAGTTGTGCAGAGCCAGCCAGTCTGTCCGCCTGTTGATTTCCTAACACACTGGCATTTCCCGTAGAGAGAGAAATCCAGACAATACGTCTCACTCGTGACTTCCGCAGTGAAGCATGCAACTCTGCACGAAGTATGCCTGTCCTAACCTTCATCAGCATACTTTCTGAGTCAGTTACAATCACGATGTGTATATTTGTCGTGTTTTCTAACCAGCGGAAAGCTGCAGTGACCGCCTTCGCCTCCATTCTTAAGCTTGATGTTGTAGTATCATATGCTAGGCTCTCATACACCATAAATCTTTAATAAAAAACCCTAAGCACTTCTTTTGCCTCTTGAAAGTGAACCGTTGTTTAAATAATCACATTATCTGGGCGAGCATTATCTTGTATTATTTGCTGAATTTCCACCTCCGTGGCACCTGCTGGCCACTCTCTGCATTCCCGGCTCAGTGTTATTATGATTAATACAAGTCTGACTATTCAGCTGGCACCTTGACCCCACTCCTCTTCTCTCCTCGTCTAATGTTCTTCAGGATGCAGACCTGTCTGATTGTGTCTTCTGCCTGAGCCATCCATGACTTCCCTCACTCTTAACTGCGCCAAGAGCTTCATGCACCTTGAGAAATGAACAAAATTGGAGAAATGAAAACCAATTTACACAGCGCAACAGACTACACAAATGACAGAGTTTATCTCTCTGTTCTTCCTTCTCTCCAACACTTCTCTGAGTTAACTAGAAGTTGATGATGAGAAAGAGCGCGAAGGAGGAAGAGCTAATGATGATATGATAATGATGATGATGACGATCCGGATGATGACGGCATTTTTTGTTTAATAAACTACTCAAACGGCGTATCAGATACACAGTTATAGAGAGACCCGCTTCTTGTGTACATTTTTTGTCAGTGATCACATGGGATGATATTAGTTTAGACAGAAACGCCCAAGGAAACTGCAGCTGAACAGAAACAACAAGGAGCACACCAAACGTTGCCAGACAATGTTCCAATCATGCATGCTGTAATCAAATAAAGACAGCGCTGGGGAGACATTGCTAGAAGTAAGCCTATTGCCCAAGGGGAAACTGAGAATGATGTAAATAGCGAAAAACATTATCATAGAAATTAACCAGCTATCTTAGAGGAAGTCGCGGAAGTGCCTAGCAACAGCATAGGAAGCTGGAGCCTCAGGCACCTTGCCTTCCCTACCCAAAATATTTTTTTTCGAGGAAGGCTGAAGAGAATTGCTATTATTATTATTGCGCATTTAAACAAGGCTATAGCCTTCTTAGCTATCTAAAATATTTGTAATGGGGAAATCTGCATCGTGGCGTGCCCTCAAAATGTAGTTATGAATTTATCTTCTCAGTCATTCACGGGATTATTACAACGATACCTGTACTAAACCGGTAGTCGCAGTGGCGGAGCGGCTATACGCTCACCTGCGGATTTGAAGATCGTGGGTTCGCTCCCACGAACTTTTTTAAAAAAAAAAAGCGACCTTGCCTTCCAGGTTGACCCAGCATTGAGTGCAGTCCTGGGAAGTAAAGGGGGCCGGCGTAATGCTGACAACATCACTCATCTTGTGCCGATTGGTGTGCCGTTACTCACTTTACTTACTAATGACTTATAATTTACTTTTCTTACTTTTTACTTACTTTACTACTTTACTTACTTACTTACTTTACTTACTTACTTACTTACTTTAATTACTTACTTACTTTACCTTACCTTTACTTAATTACTTTTACTTACTTTACTTACTTTACTTACTTGGAACTTTACTTTTACTTACTTTTCACTTACTTTCCTTTTCTTACTTACTTTACTTACTTACTTTACTTACTTAATTTACTTACTTACTTACTTACTTTACTTACTACTTACTTTACTTACTACGTTTACTCATGTACTTTTACTTATATACTATCCTTACTTACTTTACTTACTTACTTTACTTATTTACTTTACTACTTACTTTACCTACTACTTTACCTTTTTACTTTACTTACTTACTTTACTACTTTTACTTTACTTACTTTACTTACTTACTACGTACTTACTTACTTTACTTACTTACTTACTTACTTACTACTTTACTTACTTACTCTTACTACTTTACTACTCACTTACTTACACTTAACTTTACTACTTATTTTTCTTACTTACTATACTTAACTTACTTCCTATTACTGTACTTTTCTTACTTACTTTACTTACTTACTTTACTTACTACTTACTTACTTTACTTACTTAATTTACCTACTTGTACTAAACCTTATTTTAGATACTTACTTTACTTACTTACTTACAACTTTACTTACTTACTTTACTTTAAAAAATTTACTTTTTTTAAAGGCTATTTTAACTTTTTATACACCACTGGTACCTACTTTCACCTAATGTAACTTACTTTAATTTAAATGTAGACGGACAGTGTTTTGTGAAACTTTACTTAAAACTTACTTACTTTACTTACTTACTCCCCTTACAATTTACTTTACTTTGCAAAACTTCATTTAACCTTTGCTCGTTTGATCATCAGATTCTGTTATCCTTCTTCGTCTAGAAGGATCAGTTCTTAACCAAAAACTACAACTAGCCACTCAGAAGCAGAAACAATGTTATTAAAGCGCATCGACTGGTTTGAAATGACACTTTTATAGGAAAGATATAAACTCGAACGAAAAGTCTATTAACGAGCTTCACAATATAACAAACACAAGCAAAACGTGAACGTTGGGGCTATAGAGCCTTCATCAGCACATAGGCAATTTCCCCCTGTACTTTTCAGGGCTTCCTTCTGCGCGCGCGCATGTGTTTGTATGTGTGTGAGTGTGTGTGTGTGTGTGTGTGAGAGAGAGAGAGAGAGGGAGGGGGTTGGTTGAGAATAGATTCACTTTCCCCTAACAAGCATGTCGTAAAGATCGACTAAATACGGATGTTTCCTTCGAAGTCGAAGTGCATCTGCGTGACCTGCAGGGAGCCAACAGTTTGCATATATATAAGCCAGATCTGTAAAACTGACATGCATGCAAAACTCAAGTTTTAGAACAAGAATAAAGTGGACGAACAACCATAACTTTCCACCAGTGAACATTAGGGAGTCGAAGAAAAAAGGTAATAATTGCCTAACTATTAACATAAATCTATAATTTTCTCCCACATAGGTTGTTTGAAATGGAGAAGGACTTGAAGAAACTGTTTCGTAGGTTGATGTCACAGACGGAAAGTGGAGAGTTTGTGTTTGATTCTGTTCGACTTGAACGACATGCCACACTGGTGATGAAGAACTTGGGCCAAGCTGTAGAAAACTTGGACGACTCCACCTACTTCTCGGAAATGCTGACAACTTTGGGAGAGAAACACTCAGCGTACAACGTCAAACCCGAAATGTTGCCGGTAACAGACTTATTGTTATCTGTAAAATGAATTTATTTCTTCCTTATTTTGAGAGGAGGCCGCGGAGGGTTAGTGGTTTGCCCAGGGGCCCATAATGCTGTTTGAATGACTCTGGGTGGGAAAGTGGGGGGGGGGGGGGGGAGGGGGCACCAATATCTTGATTTGGCATCAAAGGGTCCTAATCCCTGATGTTTAGGATAAAGTCCATTTAAGATGTAATTCCACTTCACCGTCCTTGGAATGAAGAACGTTTTGCCCTAATCTCCCTCTGTTTTGCCACCCCCTAATCTTTCTAGTCTTCTCTACGTTCTCTGATGACTTTCGCCTGCCCAAAAATCAGTGTCTCTCGTTTTTGTTTTTTTTTCAGTCTTCTTCTTCACTTCCTCTTTTCCACTGGGTTTGATAAAATCCTTGCGGTCGCCAAAAAGTCTGGCAATCTTAAGTTCGAATTTGCATCAGGTAATTTTCCTGGGAAAATTATAGGCGGCTGACAATATCACCTAGTGTGTGCCAGTTTGTCTATACTTAATAAATATGAATCTAGCATTATATGCCCATGTACTACTGGTGTAAAAGGGTTCTTTATTTTACTTTAGTTTACTTGAAATTCAATTATGTGTCTTCTTTCTTTCTGAGCATTAAAAAAAAACAAAGTGTTACTTACAGGATACTCTTTCTTCTTTTTTATTTTAATAGCTTCCATAGGCTGTAAACTCTGGTGGAAAGTTCTGGTCATTCGTCCACTTCTCGACTTTGGTCCAGAACGTGAGTTTTGCCTGCGCATCCGCATTATGGATCTGGCTTATCTGTATGCAGGCTATTACTTCTCCGTCGCCTAGGCAGATGTAGTCCGACTTCGAAGGAAACTACCATAATTAGTTGCCTTGTAGGACATGCATGTTAGGGGTCAGTGGGTCTATTCTTTTTTCCCCCCACTATTGGACCCACATGGAGAGTTCTTTGAGATGAGAACATTGTATGGTTTGGCGAGATAACTTCATAGATGTTGGAAACAGTCGCTGGCCGCTGAAGGGTTAATGCAAAGATTATCCACTAAATATTCATTCCGTCTTCATGTAGGTCGGAATTTTCCTTTAATTTGAAACCCCACCCTGGTTGTTGTTGTTGTTGACAGCCCTAATATGACCCAACCTGTGGGTTGAACTTTTTTTTTTTAGACCTGTACCTGTGTGATACTTATCCGAATGGTTGCACTTCGTATCGTCCGGTGTTTATCGCTCGGTGTGATGTCCTGGTGGACTAAAACGTCAGTCAGACAGTTCTCATATCAATCGGAATGCCGCAGTTACAACAAATACACTTAGAAGTCCTTGGAAATGCACACCATTTCAAACCGTCTTTATCAAGTAACAAAACAACATTTTTATTTTTGTATTACAAAAATAGCCCTATTACTGTCGAAAAACAAAGCAACCATGATGTGATTTATGGAAATGAAAATGCGGAACGTTGAAGTGAAAAGAGAAATGAAAGGAAATACATACAGACACATCTTATATATATATATAAAGACATTGTCTATTTAGCAAAGTAATAGGAATATAATACCATTGATATCTTTCAAACATTGACAATGATAGATTTTTTTTTTATGTTATTAAAAATATGTCCCTCAATACACACCCCCAAGGATGTTTCGTTAACTCAATTGTCCAGATCATTCTCCATGTGGCCTTCATTTGTGGAGCCTAAATGAAATTGTTTCATCATAATAATTTGTTCAAAGCTGTGTGTGGCGCCCTATTATTGCCTCGATGCCAGCCATCTAGTCTATTATTTGATTCATTGTGTGTTTGTGAATGCGTAGGAGAATGTTCTAAAATTATATAATACACGTGCATAGCTATATCTACACATACACACATATAGAGCGCGTAGCAGCTAGACTCTCGCCTGCAGAACCAAAGTGTGTGAGTTCAAATCCGAGCGCTGCCAAATGTTTTTAACTGGTGTGTGGGAAGGAAAGAGGGGAGGGGGGGGGGAGTTAAAACCCAGTAGCTTTGCTTTAAATGGATACCAGGTAAAGTCCTGGAAAGTAAATGCGGACGGCGTAATGTTCCAGAAACTGCCTTGTATGCTTGTTAGAGGGGGCGGGAAGGGGTTCTGCTGTTGTTCCCTCAAAATGATACCATAGAACCGATGCATGCAATATATATATATATATATATATATATATATATATACTAGCTGTACCCGGCCACGCGTTGCTGTGGCGTAATTTGATATAGTCTTTGATCCCCACCCACCCCCCCCCCCCCCCCCCCCCCACCCCACAACTAAATCCACCTACTACCCTCTCCCTCATCAAAGGTTTTTAGAAAAGAAAGACAATGGAAAATCGCACCTGTCTAATGAAGTTAACGACGCAGTCAATGTCTGCGCCGACGTCGAGATAGTCCTTGATTCCCCCCCCCCCCACCCCCCCCCCCCCATCGAAGGTTGTTTAAAAAAAAAAAACAGAAAATAGAAATCGTGTTTAATATGGTTATTGTGGCAAATATAGAGATAGTCTTGTTTGCTGTACCACGACCTTCTCTATGTATTAGTATTAGAGAAGGCGTTGGCTGCACGTAACTCGCCGGCGAATGGTAAATACGGCGCATGCGCAATTACTAACGTGGCTATAATTAGAAATCACTAAAGTTATAAATATTAGTTGCGTATATTTTTTCATAAATTGTGGTCACCTATCTCTAACAGTGACAGGTTGAATTTCAAACCACGACGGTTCAAAATCCGGTATCACAACAAACATATCCTGAAAATTTCAGCTAAATCGGTTCAGTAGTTTCCGAGTCTATAGAGACCAAACAAACACACAAACATTGATTTTTATATATATAGATAAATATATACATAGTGACATCTCGTAAACATACATTATTTTAACATGAGCACATTGGTTCCGGCCGAGATGTACGTGTATTGTTAGTGCACTAGTCCCAGATAGGCACAAGTGCATTATATACGGGTGTTTTATATATATATATATATATACACACAAACAACACACCTTTATCAAGATGAGAAGATAACACAAGAGAAACGCAGCAGCGAGTTATGTGTATGGTTGAGGCGGCCAAAAGAGCAC